AGCCAAATCCTTCACGGAGTCGGTGATGCAGGAGGGAGATGTGTAGCTGGCTGCCAAGATCTTCTCGTAAAGCACCTGGAGGTTGGAGTCCTCGCGGTCGGAGCGAGGTATAGAAACAACAAACCTTCGTTGAGAGTTCCCAGTACCCGAAGGGCAAAACTCCGCATACCATTGCCTCAGGATTTAGCCGATGGCACGGTGACCCAAACAGCTTCCCCGTGCACATCTGGTACTGTGGAGCAGCCCGTCATCGAGGCCGCGGCAAAGAGGATGACACCACAGTTCCACAGGTCGCACATTTGCGGGACGTAGCCTCAGAGTCTTCCCAGGGAACTCTTGGAATGGGCACATGCAACACCTCCCACATACTCCAACGCACCAAATTGCACCCTCGGTGTGGAGCTCTGTCTCGAAACCATCTCTGGGGGAGCGTAGCCTTGCGTCACCATGGACATTCGACATGTGTCAACCGTCGTCGGCAATCCCACAGCCCACACGTTGCGCTGATTCAAGACCACAACTCCACGGAAGCAAAGGTTTGGCTGGTTCTGAGACTAGACACTGGGTCCGCTAAAACTGCTCGGCCCGAGACAAGGCGATCCGCAGGCAGTGCTCAGCAGCTGGTTGTCGTCGAAGCGCTGCGCAACGGGCAAACCCGCAGATAGAATCATGTGGCATCTTCACGTAAGTTTTTTTTTTTACTGCCGCGCTTGTGGATGCTGCAAAAGTGTCATTCCCATCGAAGGACACAAAAGCCGGATGGTCTGATGATGATGATGATGATGACGACCATGAACATGATCCGACCGTCGTGAACACTGAGGCTGCGCACTTTGCTGAGCCCAAAGTCGGCGATTTTGACGCAGTTTTGCCTCAAACGTGTGGGCTCACCCGAGTATACAACGATGTTCCTGCTAGCCAAGAGCTATGCTCATCTAGGAGCAGATTCTCCGGCTTGAGGTCCTCATGTTCAGACCAGAGATGTGGATACTTCATGGTACCCTGCCAGTGGAGAACATGTGTGGATGCCGGCGGTTCAACCGGGCCCCAAGCGCGATGAGCGATGTTCATCGCGTGAAGGTGCTCGACCTGGCGGGACGCTCAGGAGCCACGGCAACTATCATGCTGTTGCTGCTGCTAGGGCTGAGTGGCGTGCGCCCGCCATGATGTGGTGAAAGAAGCGGCAGGCTTGGGGTTCCTCACGCGCCGTTCTAAGACAGTGGCGTAGACTTGCGTCGATCTTAGAAGGTCTGAGGCCGTGGACGGGCACCCGTTGGTTTTCAACAATGTAGTGGAAGAGGTCGCCGCCGGAGGCGTACTCCATGATTAAGTAAAGCCTCACAGCTGCTTCTTCCTCCTCTGCGTACCGTCAGCAGGAGCGGGGCTCCAACGCCCCCGCTGTTTCGATGACCTCGAACAGCTGCACCACGTGTGGGTGCCTAAGAGCAAGTTCGACAAGCCCAAGGCATTCTGGAACTGACGTAACTACTGCGACTCACTTGTTGGCCAGCCCATGGTGGTCTTAACTTTCAAAGCAGCGTGCCGGAGCAGCTTCAGGAGCTGGATCTCCCGCTCGACCCGGGCTCTGTCCTCCGCCTGCTTGGCATTATAGGTCGAATTAAATGGTGCGCTAACGTCTTGCGAATCCAACTTGACGAAGCGCGACTTCAGGAACTCAGAACTACTAGGCAGTGGCCCACACCGGCTCCAAGAGATGAGCTGCGGGTAGAGCGGGCCGCCTCC